CTAATTCGTTCCAAATGGTGGAGGGTATTCAAAGTTCGGCCCGGCCGAACTTACTGCTTTTTTACTTGTTTGTTTTTATTTAAATAAAAAAATACCGACTACAGGAGCTCTTACTCTATATAGAACTCCCAAGCGTTCTTCTATAAATATAGTTATTTCAAAACTATAAATATAGTTATTTTAATAATGGAGGACTTTCAAATTCAAAGCGAACAAACGTGTTGGATGTGGGGTTCACAAAAAATAAATGAAAATTCCTAGGAAATGTTTTTCAATTCCATCAAAATAGTTAAAATTTCATCATTGAATAAAAGTCATCATTTTCAACACAAAAATGTATGTAGGTTTGTACGATATTCTGCAATTGAAATCCCTGCTTAAAAAATTTAAAAAAAAAATGCATAGCCTTGGGTAAAGTACAAAACAAATTCTACAGCTACGACGACAACAACAAAAATGCATTTACATTATTTCACTTTCATAAACAAGCCCCCCAGAGAAGCACCCCTTATAGAAAAGCAAACACAAAAATAAACAAACAAACAACTCTGACAATTCAAAAACATCACACCATGCAATAATAAATACTACTACTGGCAATATGACGCCTCGACAACCGAACGACTGGAAAATAAATGCTCGCTAGCTAGAGGTAGGTATAATATACGAACTAGGTAGAATTGCTGTGTTCTCTGGAAAACAAAGGGGACAATGGTCAATTTCGAGTTGTTTGTCTTCAAGATATTCACCAACTAATCGACCGTCTCGCCATGGTGTCTGTCTATAAAACTTAGTTCTCAGATAATAACCAACAAAGAAAAACAACAAAATCCGAAGCGAATCGTATCGTACCGATAGTTTTGCTAAAAAAAACACATTACAAAACAAGCCCAACCATATGATGTGATGTGATGTGATACGAGAGCGGGAACCCAATAAACAAAACTAGCTCACTCACTGGCGTGTTCGTTCGTTCGCTCACTCGCTCGCTCGCCAGCTCATTGGCTTACAAACGCGTGCCCGCTCTTGGCTAGCAACAATACTAAACGATCGAAATGGGTTGCCAAATGCCAATGAAATAATTCATAGACATAGCTTGGAAGTCTATAAACTAGAGCATAGGATAAGTGTACCAGTAGTCGGTTATTAAGTTCGTCATTCCGTTTGTAACTCATCGATATAATAATTTTAGACCTAACAAAGTGTATATATTCTTGATCAGCGTAAAATTCTAAGGCGATTTAGCTCTGTCCGTCCGTCCGTCCGCCTGTTGTAATCACGCTACAGTCAAAATGAATTAAGATAGGAAGCTAAAATTTTGCACAGATCTGTCTTTTGTCTGCTGGCAGGTCAAGTTCGAAGATGGACTATATCGGTCCACTATATCGTATAGTTCCCATATAACGGTACCTCCCGACATTCGTTATTTTGATGATTTTAGCCACATTTTTTAAGGGAATTGCTGAAATTCTACACAAGGAGTTCCTTGTGAGCCCTTTACCCCCTGAAGGAGAGTTGTCTATATAGGTCCACGATATCGTAGCCCCCATATAACGGTACCCCGATATTCGGTATTCCGCACAAGAAGTTGTACCCACAGACATAAATTTATCTGTATAGGTCCACAATATCGTATATCCCCCCCAATATATCGACACATTACGATATTCGGTATTTTTAAGATTTTAACAGAATTTTTAATGGATTTTATTTTTTTTTTTTTTTTAATTTCCTAATTCGGTGGATGGTATACAAAGTTGAGCCCGTCCGATTTTACTGCTTTTTTAATTGTTATTTATAACAACTTTCATTTATTAAGACTAATGAACGTTGGTATGGCAAGGGTATTATGTCTTTGTGCATTTGTTTGTAACCTGGAGAAAGAAGCGAGATAGACCCATAGTTACTTTTAAGGATCTTCACTTTCTGAGTAGATTTACACATGCCAGTCACTCCATCCGTCTATCCATGTATTCTTGTGAACAAAATACAGGTCACATGTATTATCCGATTGATCTGAAATTTTCCAAACAATATTTATTTGGCCCAAGGACGAACCCTATTGAAATTGGTGAGAATCGGATCAGATTTAGATATGGCTCCTGTATATATCTTCAACCGATATCGGGTTAATTGTGTACCAAAGGGCCAATATTGGTACAAATTACCTGCATTTTACGAAATCCGACCGAATTCAGTCTAGAAGGAAATATATTACATTTGGTGAAAATCGGTTCCGATATAGCCATTTATATGTTTCATGCGATTTTGGATTTTAAGTCCCTCACATGCGTAATATGCATTCCATAACAATGATCTTTGGTATCAGATATCACATACAGTCCAGAAATACCTCTACCAAATTTTATCGAGATAGGGTCAGATTTGGATATAGCTCCCGTATACATGTGTCATCCGATATCAGGTTTACAAAGTATATATATTCTTGATCAGCATAAAATTCTATGTCGATTTAGCGATGTCCGTCCGTCTGTGGATATCGCTTTAGCTTCCGAACGAATTGATAACGATTGATAAAATTTTACTCAAATGTATATTATGTCTGCAGGACTTTTGGTATTGAAAATGGGCCATGAAGGTCCACGTTTTGGTATAGACCCATATAACGGTACCTCAAGATATTCGGTATTTTGATGATTTTAACGACATTATTTACCGGAATTGTTTCAAATTTGGTATTTGAAGTTCGTAATGGATACTATAGCCTATGACAGAAAATTATCTGTGCAGGTCCACGTCTTCGTATAGCCCCCATGTAACGGTAACTCCCTGTATCCGGTATAATGATGATTTTAGCTACATTATTCACCGATTTTTTATAAGTTTCGCATTTGAATATTGTAATGGCTTATGACAAAAGTTACCTATGCAGGTCCATGTCGTCGTATAGACCCTACTATAACAGCTACAGTCGGTATTTTTACGATTTTTGTCCGTCTGTGTCTGTCCGGCTAGTGCGCACGACAACTCTCAAAGGGAGCATCCGATTTGGTCCAAGTACATCATAATATTACTGTCAAACTTAGATCGAGTTCCACTCCTTCTGGTACCTCCCCCACAAACGGTCAAAATTCTGAATATCCATGAAGTTTTTAAAACACAAAATTAACAACCGATTCCATTCAGACTTGGCAAACTCAATATTTCCATCAATACAAGATCTGTTATAAATATGGTAGAGATCGGACCATTTCTTCTGGTACCTTCCGACAACGAGTGAAAGTTTTAAACAACAAAATAGGATCATAAACCGGGATCAATCATCCGGTTCTCTTTAAATTACACACATCACAATATTTTTATTAACCCATGATCTGGTGTGAAGATGGAATATATCGGTTCAATCCTACTAGTAGCTTCCCCACAAAGGGTCAAAATTTTGAGTAGCCATGAGTTCATAAAATTCGAAATCAACATCCGATTTTATTCAGAATTGGTACATCTCAAAATATCCATCAGCACAAGATTCTGGTACTTCCCCCATATAGGTTTCAAGATTTTGAAAAACATAACTTGATCGAAACCCGCGTCGCAGTGGCCGAAAAATGGCTCGTGAGCTGAACATATCGCAATATTCCATTCGGTAAATATTAAAAAATGAGCTCGGGGTAAAGCCATTGAAATTCCAAAAATTACAAGAACTTACACCGCAACAGAAAAAGAAAATAGACTCAAAAGAGCCAAAGAGTTGCTTCGCTTGGCCGAAAGTGGTGAACTGTCGAATTTGGTTTTCTCCGATGAGAGAACATTCGTTGTCCAGGAGATTGTAAACAAAATAATCGTGTTTACTTGCCAAAAAGGTCAGCTGAAAATGTGCACCTTCGGTTGACCAGAACCAGACCAGAACTCAAGCGCCGGCCATGTTGATGGTGTGGACGGCCATAACAGCCGATGGTCGCTCTCCGCTTGTATTAATCGACCGTGGCATCAGCATAAATGCCGAATATTTTCGCGAAAATATTCTGGAGGGTGTATTGGACATTTCAACAGGACTCAGCACCATCGTACTCAGGACGCGCCACCCAAGGATGGTTACAAAATGAGGTTCCTCGCTTTATTTCCAGCGCACAATGGCGCTACCAAAATCTACGAATACCAATCCGTTGGGCTATTGTGTCTGCAGTATTTTGGAAAGCACGGTTGGCACTAAAAAATATCAAAGTGCCGATCACTTCAAGCAAGCGCTTCGCCGGGAATGGGCCATAATACCACAGAGCAACATTCGGGCAGCGTATGACGGTTTCATTGGCCGTTTGAAAGCCATAACTCGTGCCAAAGATAATTAATTCGAACAAGTCTAAACTTATTCTAAAATTTGATTCTATTCCCGATATTTTTTGCTTTCATTCAATAAAACTAAAAAAAGGAACATTTAAAAATTATGTTGTTTGACTTTGTTGCCGTTTTTTTATCTTGCCCTGTCAAATACGAATTGGTCAATATTGGCCAACTGCTTCCGAACATCTCCCATAAAGGGTCAACTGTTTGAATAATCATAACTCAAGGCTGGGGGTATACATCTGTCGGCAAAACCAACTGATACTATTTTACTTGTTTTTATAAACATTTATTTATTTTTATTTTTGAGCAGCAACAAATTTTGAGGTTTTTCCCCAAACTTGGCAATCCTGCTCACGACAGTCACAAACAAATCACTTGAGAGTGAGCTAGCGTTGTTGTGTTACCAGGCCAATATCATCAACTGGTTAATTGTTGTTGATTGCCGCCACCGTCGTCGTCGTCGGTTGCTCTCTATACAAATGCTGAGTTTGTTGTTGGTGGTCTGTCATCCATTGTCGGCCAGTCAGTCACACCAGACAGGTACACACAACAATATGTACATGGACACATAGAGCACGAGAAATAGAGAGGGAGAGAGGAAAATCGAAAAAACCTCAAAACAAAACAACAACAATTGATCAACACAATTATTGTGTATATAAAAGACTTTTCCTCGACGACTTTTTACACAGAACTAACTGAATCAGTTACAAACAGCCACCGAGGCGGACAACAAGCGTCGATCGTGTTCTTCCATTCCACTCGGAAAAGAATTAAGTAAAACTCGAAGAATAACAAAGAAAGAAAATTTACTAAAAAATTTCCATCACCAAAAAAACAAAGAGTGGAAAATAAAAAAAGAAAAACTATTTGAAAACAAACATACGGCGCATTGTGGAAAAGTGATCGTGAACTTGAAAGAACCAAAGAAAAGGAAATCTATGAAAGATTGCTGTTTGGGTGTTCGGAAAGCATTCATTGTTTACGGTTACCTAATGAAAAGTTAAAGCCGCAGCAGCCAAAAACAAAGAAACGTGTTTTATCTAAACTCATCATAAACGACAACAAAAAGAAAACACTGAGAATATTGAAACGTGTGGAGTAAGAGGAAGAGAAGAAAAAAAACTTTCCATTCCACCAAAAACTCACACACACACATACACACCCAAAAAAAAACAAGCATTATTAAATAATTCTCAAAAGATCACCCGATCTCTTGTCGTCCATTACAAAGTGCAGTTTTTAGTCGGCGTTCGTCAATCATCAAAGAAGAAAAGAGAAGCGGCATCATGAGTTCCACAATTGGTCTAAGTTTGGGACGTGCCACCACAAATGGCTGTTCAACGGCAGTTTTAAATGGAGCTGCCACTTGCCATGTGATTGCCTCGAAGACTCTTAATGGCAGCAATCTCCATACCATGAATGAGCCAACAGCGGCGCCAACCGCCAAATGCCCCGATTTGGCAGCCAAAGTTATACAGAAATCCCACATTGTCTGCTTCGATGTGGACTCGACGGTGATACGTGAGGAGGGTATTGATGAATTGGCCGATTTCTGCGGCAAAGGCTCCGAAGTGGCCCGTGTAACCAAGGAAGCCATGGGCGGTTCAATGACCTTCCAGGATGCTCTGAAAATTCGCCTGGACATCATTAGACCTAGCCAACAGCAGATCCATGATTTTCTCAAATCCAGACCGAGCACATTGACACGCAATGTTAAGCGTTTCGTGGAACACCTCAAGGCCGAGGGCAAACAGGTCTATTTGATTTCGGGTGGTTTCCATTGTCTCATCGAACCGGTGGCCAATGAGTTGCAGGTACCTCTCTCCCATTTGTATGCCAATAAGCTGATGTTCTACTGCAATGGTGAATATGCCGCCTTCGATACCAATCAACCCACTTCCCGTTCGGGCGGCAAGGCAGAGGCTATCGCCCACATACGCAAACAATACGAAGCCGATACTGTGATAACAATGATCGGGGATGGTGCCACCGATCTGGAGGCCGTACCACCGGCAAACTATTTCATTGGTTTTGGTGGTAATGTGGTGCGACCCGAAGTGTACAAAAGGGCCCAGTATTATGTAACGGATTTTGAGCAATTACTGTAAACAAGCAACAACAATTGAATTTAAGTTATTTTGAAAAAGAAAGAAAAAGATTAATATTTGAAAATGAGAACATTCTTCATACCTCAAAGTGAAAATTGCAAAAAAAAAAAACTTCAAGGCCCGAGATGGAAAATCTTTATGAATGCTGAGTGGTTGGTCCAAAAACGCAAATTTCTCAAAGTATTTATATTTGATTTAATTGCATTTTCGATATTATTATTTTTTTTTTCATTACTAATTAATTAAATTATGTATTTGTTGTTGCACAATCCCCTTGTACATAAAATATTTAAATATTATAAGTTATTATCTAATAGCTAGCTAGTGAATATTAATTAAGTGAGAAACAAAAAAGAAACCTGTTTTCTACAAAGAAATGAATTGATTGCATTATTGTACGGTCAAATGTTTATTAGTCATAGTTTTTAATATTTTTTTATATTATAAAAAATGAAAAAAAAATCCAAAATTGTGTTTTTATTTGAAGGCTTAATTTCCGGTTACTTTGCTGCAGTATGACTTGTTTTGTTGTTGTCGTTGTTCTAAATACGACAGCAATGACACAAACCTTTTCCCGTTTTGTAGATTAACATTTTGGGGAGAGTGAGTAGAATTGAAATTCCACTCAAGAGAGCGAATGGAAACAAATGTATTTACAAACAGTGGGATGGTTTTAAGATAAAAGCTATAAAACAATTCAATTAGAAACTAGTAGGGAAAAGTCAAAAGTCGGGCGGCGCCGACTATTTGATACCCTACACCACTATGCATATTACGGATAGCTCCCGTAACAAAAGCATTTATTTGAAATAGATCATACCACCTATCAAAATATGGCTTTAGAGCAGTTATAATTTGGTTTCAGAGGGAACTGATATATGGGAGGCATACTCAATTCTGAATCGATTGTCACTAAATTTGACGGAGAGATTTCAATCTTTTTTTATCAAATAACATTACTATAGAGTGCATGGTATCACTTCGAGAAGGATTTTATTAATATATATATATATATATATGTATATATGTGTGTATATATATATATATATATATATATATATATATATATATATATATATATATATATATATATATATATATATATATATATATATATATATATATATATATATATATATATATATATATATATATATATATATATATATATATATATATATATATATATATATCGGAGCCGAGTTCCACAAAATGGAAACGTACGTCCTGAAATTCACTCCATTTGGGGTGTTAATAGCGAATATTTGCACAATAAACCTGAAATTGAATGAAGGATATATATAGGAGCTATATCCAAATCTTACCCGATCTTAATAAAATATGGCAAAGGTATTTTCAAGCTTTATAAGATATCCGGTAAAAAATATCATTGTTGTCGAATGCATATTACGAATTTGAAGGACTTAAACACCAAATCGGATGAAACATATATATATATATATATATATATATATATATATATATATGTGTGTGTGTGTATATATATATATATATATATATATATATATATATATATGTGTGTGTGTATATATATATATATATATATATATATATATATGTGTGTGGATGAAACATATATAGCTGTATCTGAACCGATTTGATAAACTTGCTTCTAGACTGAATTCGATCGGATGTATCGGGGCTTTTGGAGTTAGATTGGCCAATTAACCCGAAATCGGTAGAAGATATATGGGAGCTATATCAAAATCTGAACCAATATTGATAAAATTTGCTAGGGGTATTTCCGGGTATTATTTCTGGTATTACGAACATTAGTGACTTAAACACCAAATCGGATGAAAACTATATATATGGGAGCTATAGCTATATCTGAACGGATTTATATCAACTTAGATGTACTTGTTTCTGGACTGAATTCGGTTGAACGGGCCAAAATTCAGATAATTTGGACAGATATTGGCCATTTGGGGCACAATTAACCCGAAATCGGTTGAAGATATTGGGAGCTACATCTAAATCTGATTCGATTATCAACAATTTCAATAGGGTTCGTCCTTGGGCAAAACAAATATTCTTTGGAAAATTCATATCAATCGCATAATAGACATGGATAGGCGGACAGACGGACTGGTATGCATAAATCGACTCAGAATGTGATTCTATGAAGATCCTCAAAGTAACTATGGGTCTATCTTGCTTCCTTCTCCATGTTACAAACAAAAGCACAAAGACATAATACCCTTAACACTAGGTGGTGTAGGGTATAAAAATAGATTTTTGATTTATATGAGGGTAAACCATGAGAATTAACGGCCAGACGTAACAGCTGAAGCTAGAATCTTGAAATTTGCACTAGGGTCAGTCTTGGTGCGTATGCATCGAGGAACCCAAAGCCAAGACTGCTGAAAAGAAGAAGAAGGCAGCTGCCAAAAAACCCTCACCCGCCAAGAAGAAGGCCGACAAAACCAAAGCAAAGGCTGCCAAGACAACCGACAAAGACCGCCGCCAAAGCATCTGCCACTAAACCAAAGGCACCCAAGGCAAAAACTGCAGCTGCAGCCAAGCCCAAAATGGCCGCAGCAGCAAAGAAGCCAGCATCGTACTGAAAGAATACGAAAAGTACTAAAATGTACTTAAAATTTAATACTTTTGTATGGACAAACGAAATGACCTAGAATTCTTAAAATTGGAATGAAATTCAGCGATGGAGTGGAGGATAGCTGTACCAAAGCGGTTTTGGAAATCCAAACTTTAAGGTAACGGAAAGTTATAAAATGGTACCATTTGGTATTATGTGAACGGAGCTGAAAACAAGAAAATTGGTATGAGAATCAAGGTTGGAAAGTAAGTTTGATATATGAAGATAGTTTTGGAAATGTGTACTACAAGTGTACGAAAAGTACTAAATAGTTCTATATTTGGTACAATTTGGTATTGGGTGAAGACATAGTGCTTGAAACCAGAAATTTGCTATTAGGGTCGCTGTTCTTGTGTAGCCCAAACATAAATGTTAAATGTGTACAATAATTGTACAAAAAGTACTGAAGGGTAGAATATTTGGTATTGGGTGAAGGGGGAAAATCTGAAATTTGATTACGGGTGATATCTGTTTTTGAGATATGGCAGTGGTTTGAAAATGCATCCTATATTTGTACGAAAAGTACTAAATGGTACTTAATTTGGTATTGGGTAAAGGGATAGAGCTGGGATACCGAAATTCGATATTGAGATCTCTATTTGTATCTGGGATTGAGATTTGGCGGTGGTTTTGAAATGTGTACTATAATTGTACGAAAAATATTAAATAGTACTACAATTAATTTTGGGTGAAGGGATAGAGTTGGAATCCCGAAATTTGATATTGAGGTCTCTGTTGGTATCTGGAATTGTGATATGGAGGTGGTTTTGGAAATGCATACTATAATTGTTCGAAAAGTACTAAGTGGTAGTAAATTGGGTATTGGGTGAAGGGATAGAGCTGAAATACTGAAATTTGGTATCGAGGTCACTGTTTGGGTTCTAGTATTATAATTGTTTGGACATGAGTATTATAATTGTTCGAAAAGTACTAAATGGATCACTGTTGGCGTCTAGGGTGGAGAGATGTAAATTGTTTTGAATATGCGTTATGTTACTAAATTTGGTATTGGGTGAAATCCTGACATTTGAAATTGAAGTCACTGTTGGTTTCTAGGGTTTACATATTGTAAGTTTTGGACGGAAAAAATGGATGTAGGTACATTATGCAATGGTTTTATTAATATTCTCATCGGTAAACTTCATAGCGAATGATTTTGAAGCAAAAGGTAAACATTTTCCTATTATTCTTTCCGAAAAAGACACTTAAATAACATATAAAACATCGAAAATCTGAAAACGATGTATGTTTTGATTAAAAAATGTGTCAAACTGAACAAATTGTCCATTCTGAGTGCTAAAAAGGCCTAATATGAACTATTGGAAGGTTCTAAACTTTGAAGGTGGACCTTTTGCTGGCAAAGTACCGGGAACTTGCTAGATAAATATAAATCATTGTGAAGAAAAATCCAAAAATTTCAAAAAAATAATTAAATACATAAATAAAAATAAAACCGGAGAAAAATACCTTCCAAAGGCAACCCCTTTAATTGGGGCTATACAAAGGCCTGGTCTTCAATAAGTAATTGTTTATAGGCTGTATTGCCGATTCCGAACTTACGAATACGAAAAATAAACCAATTCCGGTGAGTATTGCCGCTAAAATCATCAAAATACCGAATATCGGGAGGTTTCGTTATATGGGGGCTATACGAAGTCGTGGCCCTGCATAGGTAATTTTCTGTCATAGGCTGTATCCATTGTCCATTACGGACTTCAAATACGAAATTTGAAACAATTCCGGTAAAAAGTGTCGCTAAAATCATCAAAATACCGAATATCGGGCGGTATCGTTATATGGGGACTATACGAAGACGTGGACCTCAACACACGATTTTTCTCATAGACTGTAATAAATATTACGAACCATAAATACGAAATTTGAAACAATGCCGGAAAATATCGAATATTAGGAGGTACCGTTATATGGGAGGCTATATGAAAACGTGGACCGACATGGCCCATTTACGAACTTAACCTGCCTACTGGCAAAATACACATGTGTGCTAAATTTTAGCCTTCTATCTCAATTCGCTCGAAAGATAGCGTGATTACAACAGACAGACAGGCGGACATCGCTAAATCGACTTAGAATTTTACGCTGATCAAGAATATTTATACTTTGTTGGATCTGACATGAGTACTTCGAGGAGTTACAAACGGAATAACAAAGTTAATATACCCTCCATAGAATGGTGGAGGATATAAAAATTGATATAGCCTATGTTGCTTTAAGGCAACGCTGCAGCAGAAGTTTTCCAAAAATTACAAACAACCAATGAAATCTACAAACATTTTTCTTTTTTAAAGGTATAGATTAATATAACATTATATTATATATTATAGATTATATAGATTAATATATTTACATTGCCTAATATATCGATAAGAATTAAGAAAATAATTTAAGTTAATAAAAACTGAATTATTAAATACATTATTACCGTAAGGAAATGCAACGTTTCGATAATGTTTCATCAAAATTATGATAAGTTGACGGCGAGGATTCATCTTCATTTATAGTTTCATTTCACTGTGCAGAGTATGAGTCCGACATGTACCTGTGACTCTACTAAAGGGCCATTTATCATTGCCACAAACCCCATCAACATTTGTAGAGTTTTGCCATAGAAAAATGAGCACAAACTGAAAGATCACTCAAAATAAAAGGGAGAAAGGTGGAAACAAAAACTGTATGATTGTATGACACACTCACACACACGTTTGAGCCAATACCCCACACACATTTTGGACAACAAATAGAATATGTATTTGGCGGGAAACATGCAATGGAATTTTCCACACAATGCCAAAATTACTGTGTATATGGTGAGAACTATGTCGAGAGTTCCTATTTCATTTACTGCGATTCAGAAGTGCATACGTTTAAATTACAAACAATTGCCAGTTCATTTTAAGGAAGTATATTCTTAAAATTAACTAGAAACTATTTGTAACTTAAACTTTTGGAATAACAAAAATGCTCTAACAATCCCCTGTCTTCGCTACTTACCGACACCAATATGCACAGTACTTACCTGGAAATAAAAAAAGGAATATAATTAGCAAATATTTAGAGTTATTTTCATAATATCATATTTCATATAATTTGACCTATGGTGGGATTCTCTAAATTTTTTACCGACAAAAATCTGTAACTTTATAAGAAAAATGTTCATGTAAAAAGTGAAATAAAAGTTTAAACATTATTTTGACGGTATGTCTTAGCGACTACTTTTTTTCGCTAACATTCAAATTTCTTTAAGTACCGAAATTATAAAGAAACAAGTGAAATAGTATCGATCGGTTTTGCCGACAGATGTATACCCCCCAGCCTTGAGTTGTGATTATTCAAACTTTTGGTGATGGGTGTGAAGATAAATTGGAAAGTTAAATTGGATGTTAACAGACACAGTTAAGTCCTTAACAGAGCTTTGTTAAAGACTGAGTAAAAAAGAAAATGTTGAAAAATATAATTATTTGTTAATTATTATATTAAAATTTATTACTTCGGTAATATAATAGCTTGAAACCGTTTCAGACACCCGAATTGGGTCATATCTTTATTATGATGTAAAAAAACGGAATGGATCACTGGGTCCAATTTGGGTCTCTGAAACGGTTTTGGACTATAACCTATATATGGGCTGAAAGTGCTCGGAGAGACCTTTAATTTAAGCCTAGTTTGATCCGCGCAGGTTTTATAGGCTTTGCACAGTGGTTCAATCTGTTAGGACCTTCTTATTATCTGGATGGGTCCAATTTGGGTCTCTGAAACGGTTTTGGACTATAACCTATATATGGGCTGAAAGTGCAAGGAGAGACCTTTCATTTAAGCCTAGTTTGATCCGCGCAGGTTTTATACGCTTTGCACAGTGGTTCAATCTGTTAGGACCTTATTATTATTAAGGATGGGTCCAATTTGGGTCTCTGAAACGGTTTTGGACTATAACCTATATATGGGCTGAAAGTGCTCGGAGAGACCTTTCATTTAAGCCTAGTTTGATCCGCGCAGGTTTTATAGGCTTTGCACAGTGATCCATTCCGTTTTTTTACATCATAATAAAGATATGACCCAATTCGGGTGTCTGAAACGATTTGTTCTATAGTTGGTGCTGCATAGTATTTATTTAATTTGTATTCAAGCTATTTTTATTACCGAAGTAATAAATTTTAATATAATAATTAACAAATAATTAAATTTTTCAAAATTTTCTTTTTACTAAGTCTTTAACAAAGCTCTGTTAAGTCCTTAACAGAGCTCTGTTAAGTAACTGTGTTCTGTTAACATCCAATTTAACTTTCCAATTTATCTTCACACCCATCTACTTCCTTATATGAGTTATGTGCAAATTTTTGGAAAACGTGAAATTACCCATGAGGTAACAGATATAGCGGACCTAAGTATTCAATTTTCATTCTTCATCTAATGCAGATAAAAATATTGGTATGTGCAAAATTTGAAGCAAATCGAACATTTATATCCAATTTTGTGAGAAATCATAAATTTCGATAAATTACATATTTCAGATTTCTGATGAAGAGAAATATTTAGATATAGCCATTTGTAAAGAATCGCTGACTTACTCCGCAAATTATGACAGATATATGTATTGGAAATTGTGACCCTTTGTGGGTGAGGAACCAGAAGGGGTTGGCAGATATATATCATCTTCACAGCATATCTTGTGTTAGTAGAAATAATAGGATATGTGATATATGAAGAGAACCGGTACCAAAAGGGATGGTCCGATCTCTACCATCTTTATAACATATCTTGTGTTGATGGCAATATTGAGATGTACCAAGTCTGAATGGAATCGGATGTTAATTTCGCGTTTTACGAGCTTCATGGATATTCGAAATTTTAACCCTTTGTGGGAGAGGTACCAGAAGGAGTTGACAGATATATTCCATCTTCACACCAGACCTTGGGTTAATGTATGTAGTTTGAAGATAATCGGACTCTTACATCCCATCTTATAAGAGTTATAATTATTCAAAATGTTGACCCCGTGTGGGGGATTTCGACCTTTTGTGGTTGGGTACCAGAAGGAGTGGAACGATATTACCCATCTCCGAACTCAATAAATGTTTGATAATAATATTACGATGTATCAAGTTTGGACCAAAACCAGTCAAAGAGACCTAGGGTCTAAAACCGTTATTCCGACGAGGCACGTTTTTGCCGTACACAAAAGCATTTTGGTGACATTTTTCCAGAAAAAAAGTTATTCGTGATGGAATTCAAGCGTGATATTGTGATTTCTTTATATTTGGCTGGAAAACCACAAGTGGCCATCGTTAGAGCACTCCAGCATTTAAATGTGAATAAATCTTTTGTGTCTCGTACCAACGCTCGGAAGAAATAACAACATCAGCAGAAATGGGTCGAAAAGTAAAGAAGCGACTTGATCGAAACCCGCGTCGCAGTGGCCGAAAAATGGCTCGTGAGCTGAACATATCGCAATATTCCATTCGGCAAATATTGATAATTTCAAAAAGTGCAAGAACTTACACCGCAACAAAAGGAAAATAGACTCAAAAGAGCTAAAGAATTGCTTCGCTTGGCCGAAAGTGGTGAACTGCCGAATTTGGTTTTCTCCGGTTTGTTAAACATCATCAGAATAAATGCGGAATATTATGGCGAAAATATTCTGGAAGGTGTATAAAGCCTTTGGCACGCAAACATTTTGGCCGCAGACCTTGGACATTCCAACAGGACTCAGCACCATCGAACTCAGCACACGCCACCCAAGAATGGTTACAAAATGAGGTTCCTCGCGTCATTTCCAGCCACCAAAATCTCCGAATACCAATCCGTTGGACTATTGTGTCTGGAGTATTTTTCAAGGAAAGCAAGGTTGGCACTAAAAAATACCAAAATGTCGATCACCTCAAGCAAGCGTTTCGCCGGGAATGGGCCAAAATACCGGCAGCGTGGCCGTTTGAAGGCCATAATTCGTGCCAAAGGTGACAAATTCGAACAAAGCTAAACTTATTCCAAAATTTGATGCTATTTCCGACATTTTTTGCTTTCATTCAATAAAATTAAAAAAAAATGTAAAAATTACTGCGTTTAACTTTGTTGCAGTTTTTCATCTTACCCTGTATAGACGCCTTCGGAAGAGTCTTATACGATTATATGATCACTACAAGGAATTTTAAAAGTCCTGTACAAGGTCTTCTCCCTTTAAACACGAGAGAAACCTAAATTTTCTTTCTTGAGAACTTTAAAAGCTCTTCTCAACAAAGTAATTAAATATCGAAAATTTTCCAACGCAGTTGAACTGCTTTTGTTTAATTACACAAAACCCACAGTTTACTTAAAACAATTGTAAAACTTTCTAAAAAAGAAAATAAAAAAAAACTATGAACTATTAAAAATATACTGAAACAGCATTAACAACAACAACAACAATAACAGCAAGTACAAATAGAGAGCGAAACCATTAGCAATTAAAACAGAATCATGGCTTTGAACCGCAAAACAACGCCAACACAGCAATTGCTGTGTGTGTGTGCGCGAGTTTTTCGGTGTCTGAAGTTATAACCAAAAATGGTTGGGAAATCTTCTTGGTCGGCAATTAAAAGCAGAAACCCACAACTGGCCAACCGGTAGCCAACAACTAAAGAAAAGTAATAATGCCGAAAAAAAAAAAAACAAAGAAATCGCATCATGACACGACAAATAAGTACAACAACTTCAACGAAAGTAGACAACCATGAAAATATCAAAACAAAAATGGAAAAATTCTAGAATTAAGAGCGTAGTTAATTTATAAATGAAAGAAACCGCAAAGCTGAGCTTGACGCCAACGTGTTTTGCTTTTTTTTTCTTTGGCCCAAATCGCTAGATATGTGACATTCATTGTCTTTGGATCACTGATTGAAACATTATTCTTAAAAACAATAAAAACACCAACACAAAAACGACAACAACAACAAAGATTGGTTAACATTGTTAACAGTTAAAATGTCGAACATGACTTAAAAGGGTCGAAAGAAAAAAACAAAAACTAGCAGCTAGCGTTGGCTTAAGGTCGTCTCCCCTAACTGGTGTGACGCGCGTTGCCATCGATACAATCGAATCTAATCGAACACACTTTCAAAGCCCGGCAAGTCCAAAGAATACAAACTCCTACATGTCGTCATTCTTAGCATGATTGCGATCGCAAAATATTACTATTCGGCATGTAGGTATTTTAATATTATTATTTTTTTTTGTTTTTTTTTTTTTTTTTTGCCATGGTGATTCATTGGCAATGAAAAGTTGTTCATTGCACAGGGGCTTGGGAGAATTTTTTAGGCGATTGGAAATGACCTACCTCAAAAAAATATATATCCACTCAAAATTGTGTTTCTAGTTCGCAATAAATTCCAGCTATACTATTGCGAACAAGAAACAATACACTATACAGGTGGACAGGTGGAGAATCAGGACATACATGAACTTCGACCCGGTCGAACTTTTAATATCCGACACGATGATAAACAAAATAACCCTTTAAAAGTAACAGTTTCGTCATTCAGTATTCAAGCAAATGCCACTGGCAAATCGCTAGGATAATGTAGTAAAAGCCTCCAAAATACCAAAAAGCGGCCGGTACTTTTCTATGGGACTATACCGACAATTTGACTTACTATTCCAGTTTTTATACCCTCAGTCATATGGCTAGAGAGGTCATTTGTTACGGCCAAAACGTGTTTAATCGAAATAACAGTTTTAGACCCTAGGTCTCTTTGGACCAAATCCGTTTCAGGACATTTGGAGTCGATCTAGCTATGTCCGTCCATCTGTCTGACTGGCTTGTGCGCACAATAACTCTCGGAGGGAGTATCCGATTTGATCCAAACTTGGTACATCTTAATATTATTGTCAAACTTAGTTCGGAGATGGGCAATATCGGTCCACTCCTTCTGGTGCCTGCCCCACAAAGGGTCGAAAATTTCAAAAAAAAAAAAACGTAAAATAGTAGCAGTCGGGCTTGTCGACAGATGCACACCCCAATCTTGAGTAATGATTATTAAAACTGTT